GTCTCATTGGGCTGGCTAACAGCCTGCTGCCTGGCCTGCACCCTGTCTCATTGGGCTGGCTAACAGCCTGCTGCCTGGCCTGCACCCTGTCTCATTGGGCTGGCTAACAGCCTGCTGCCTGGCCTGCACCCTGTCTCATTGGGCTGGCTAACAGCCTGCTGCCTGGCCTGCACCCTGTCTCATTGTGGAGCTAGAGGAGTTAGAGCCCTGTCTATGTTGGTAGATAAGATGAGAGCACCCCTCCAGCTAGGATGGAGTCCATCACTCCTCAGCAGGCCAGGCTTGGTCCTGTAACACCCCTCTAGCTAGGATGGAGTCCGTCACCCCTCAGCAGGCCAGGCTTGGTCCTGTTTGTGGGTGAGTCCCAGAAAGAGGGCCAATTATCTACACATGCTATATTTTGGGAGAGGCAGAAAACAGTTTTCAATCAGTGATTGAGTTGTGAGACTCTGCTGTAGAGCTCATCACTCCTCCCCCTAACTGGGAGGGGACCAGAGACAATTACTCGATGACGACGCATCTTTCTAGCTAATTTACACACTGAAGCTATGTTGCTCTTGCTGACCTCTGACTGTTTCATCCTAACATCGTTGGTGCCGACGTGGATAACAATATCCCTATACTCTCTACACTCACCAGTTTTAGCCTTAGTCAGCACCATCTTCGGATTAGCCTTTACGTCGGTAGCCCTGCCCCCTGGGTAACAATGTATGATCCCTGGATGATTCTTTTTAAGTCTAATATTGCGGTTAATGTGGTCCTCTGTAGCTCAGCTGGTAGAGCACAGCGCTTGTAACGCCAAGGTAGTGGGTTCGATCCCCGGGACCACCCATACACAAAAAAAAAATGTATGCACGCATGACTGTAAGTCGCTTTGGATAAAAGCGTCTGCTAAATGGCATATTATTATTATTATTATAATGGAGTCGCCAATAACTATGGTTTTCAATTTGTCAGAGCTAATGGTGGGAGGCTTCGGCGGCTCAGACCCTGTAGGGTAGGGACGTCCCAAAGATCCCGGATACCACTAATTGTAGTCAAACGCCTATAGACGACGGACCTGCGATGGTTAGTACTACCCTAAACTCTAACCCTGCGATGTCCCTACCCTAAACTCTAACCCTAACTCAGGTCCAGCGCCAGAACAAATCAGTTCTGGCATTTGATTTCCAGGGGGCAGTTTTTTTTCACGGGAAGCGCGTGCACATTTTTTTCAATGGGTTTTATAGTAAAGACATGTTATTTAACTGTAAACATGTATTACCTTTTAATGGGGTATGAACACAGCCAGTCATGATGTTTCATCTGATTGTCAAACAAATCCCATCAAAATGTAGGTTACTTTCGCACGTTCATCCAAAAGAATTCCAGCATCCGAACAGGGAACTGCACCGACCTGCCAACTTCCCTTCAATTTGCAAGTTGCTGAAACTATACTGAACAAAAATATAAACAAAACATGTAAAGTGTTGGTACCATGTTTCATGAGCTGAAATAAAAGATCCAAGAAATGTTCCATACGCACATAAAGCTTATTTCTCTCAAATGTTGTGCACAAATTTGTTTATATCCCTGTTAGTGAGCATTTCTCCTTTGCCAAGATAATCCATCCACCTGACAGGTGTGGCATATCAAGAAGCTGATTAAACAGCATGATCATTACACAGGTGCACCTTGTGCTGGGGACAATAAAAGGCCACTCTACAATGTGCAGTTTTGTCACACAACACAACGCCACAGATGTCTCAAGATTTGAGGGAGCGTGCACTTGACATGCTGACTGCAGGAATGTCCACCAGAGCTGTTGCCAGAGAATTGAATGTTCATTTCTCTACCATAAGCCGCCTCCAATGTCGTTTTAGGGAATTTGTCAGTACGTCCAACCGGCCTCACAATTGCAGACCACGTGTAACCACACCAGCCCAGGACATCCACATCCAGCATCTTCACCTGTGGGAACGTCTGAGACCAGCCACCCGGACAGCTGATATAACTGAGGAGTATTTATGTCTGTAATAAAGCCCTTTTGTGGGGAAAATCTTTATTCCATTAATCCATTGTTTATTACTCTGAATCTAAATGTTATTTTGCCTATTTCTCTTGTCTGTCTGGATAACACATAGATGGTGGACAATCTATTCCTAGTATTGACTGAATATCTGTCTCTAATCAACTTAACACTGTTGCGAATGGAGTTTGGCAGTTTTAAATGGAGTACATTGTGAAATAAAATACGCATGTTTTTTTCAATTAACTTGTTAATTGATGACCACCCAAGAGCATTGTACATGACTACAACAGAATATTCATATCTCCACCTTAAAACAATCCCTTGCTGCTTTGTTCTGTGCTTCTCTGCAGCCTCCTAATTTCACTTGCTGATGCATTTCCCCAGACCACAGAACAGTAGTTCACCTGACTCCTAATTAATGCTTGAGTTGTTTGCTTAAGAATATTTCCCCGGTAAATATTTAGCTGTCCTTCTGATCATGCATTAAGTTTTAATTATTTTCTTACATAGTTGAGTTATTTGTTATGACCATGATAAGCAGTTGTCTAGCTGCGCCCCTAGTAGTTTGGTTTCAGCCACTTCCTCAATTTATACTCCTGCATTACTTAATCGCAAGCGATGTTGTGTTGGCGTTTTCCTGGTGGAACAGACCAACATAACCTTGGTTTTCTTAGCGTTCAAAACAATTTGTAGTTGTAAATCTTGCTGTACCTGTTGACCCGATTGTCTTGCTGTATAAATTGTAGTATTATATAGTAGCAAATATAGTAGCTTGAGTTTCAGATAAGACATAAGGAAGAATCGGCTTCCTATTTCGCAACAAAGCTTCCTTCACTCATGCTGCTAAACATGCCCTCGTAAAACTGACTATCCTACCGATCCTTGACTTCGGCGATGTCATTTACAAAATAGCTTCCAACACTCTACTCAACAAATTGGATGTAGTCTATCACAGTGCCATCCGTTTTGTCACCAAAGCCTCACTACATATTCGTCACCAAACCCACTTGCTCCAGGTCATCTATAAATCACTGCTAGGCAAATTCTTGCCTTATCTTAGATCATCGGTCACCATAGCAGCACCCACCCGTAGTCTGCGCTCCAGCAGGTATATCTCACTGGTCATCCCCAAAGCCAACACCTCCTTTGGCCGCCATGCAAATGACTGGAACGAACTGCAAAAATCTCTGAAGCTGGAGACTCTTATCTCCCTCACTAACTTTAAGCATCAGTTGTCAGAGCAGCTTACCGATCACTGCACCTGTACACAGCCCATCTGTAATTAGCCCACCCAACTACCTCATCCCTATATTGTTATTTACATTGTTATTTATTTTGCTCATTTGCACCCCAGTATCTCTATTTGCACATAATCTTCTGCACATCTATCACTCCAGTGTTAATACTAATTGTAATTATTTTGCACTATGGTCTATTTATTGCCTTACCTCCATAACTTACTACATTTGCACACACTGTATGTAGATTTTCTATTGTATTTTTGACTGTAGGTTTTGTTATTGCATATGTAACTCTGTGTTGTTGTTTTTATCGCACTGCTTTGCTTTATCTTGACCAGGTCGCAGTTGTAAATGAGAACTTGTTCTCAACTGGCTTACCTGGTTAAATAAAGGTGAAATAAAACAAATAAAAAAGGTTGTTGGCATACATTAAGTAAAGAAGTGGCCCAAGGCAGCTGCCCTGCGGTATTCCACAGTTTAAAGCATGAGGGAAAGAAAACAACCCATTGATATAGATGGACTGTTTCCTGTCAGTTAGATGCTGCCTCCGTAAACCCGTAATGTTGTTAAAATTATTTCATGATCCACTAAATCAAATGTTGCAATGAAATCTAAAAATAGTACACCCACAAACTTTCCATTGTCCACTGAGCAACTGGTCAGTCGTGTCAACCAATGCAGTGGTAGTGGAATGTTTTTTTGCGATAAGCATGCTGATTGGCTGTGATCAGATCATTCTTTTTCATATACTCCAATATTTGTCTAGTCACAATACCCTCCAATATCCTACTGAGTGAAGGGAGTAGACTGATTGGTCAGACTATTGGTAGGAATAATGTTTTTTTTTGTTGCTGTAAATTCAACATTGACTTCAATAGGTTTAACACCTCCTGTACATAATATGATCATCAATCCATCTGATAACAGCTTGTGTTTACATTATCTCTCAGTAAATTTGTTTTCTTTTTAAAGAAATCTGCACAATGTCAGCTGGTTTTGTTATTGTTCTCCAATCAACCTCCACACTAGATGGACATGATGAGATAGATGCACCAAGTAAGCCCTTAACTGTATTCCATATTTTTTTTTGAATCATTTTTACAATCAGTAAATGCATTTTTGTAAAATAAAGTTTTTTTTCTTACGATTTAATTGAAATGCATAATTGGGACGAGCCCCAACTCTTTCATACTGGGGCACGATGGTCCATTACCCCAGTGAACAATTCAATAAAACAATTTGTACACGTTAGAGCTAGATAAATACATCTCTGTTACTATCTGTGGCCTGGTCAAACCCAGATAAAACAGCTTAGAGCTAGGAGGTCTGTACACATCGTCCCAATATGGGAGCCTGGAGAGGCAGATGTACTCCAGCCCCCGGTGCCTCTATTGCCATACGTTAAGGGCATCCCTCCTCTGGAAAGGTTTATGATTCTGAATGGACAGTGCTACAACACCACCATTCCTCATCCTGTCCCTTCTAAGTAGACTGTAATCATGAATGTTCATTTGTCCATCATTAACGGATGCATCCAAATGCGTTTAGGTTAAAGCTAAAATATGAATATCATTTATGTTGACCAAGTTAAAGACCTCATGTATTTTGTTAGGAAGGCTACATATATTAACCTGAGCTATATGCAGCCCTTTCCTTGTCAAGTGAAGATCAATAGAGCATGTATTCGTTATAGTTGAAGTCATGACAACACACAATCTCAGATTTGAACATTGGATTAAAATAGTTACTCTAGAGTCCCGATACAGTTGCCCGTTGATGTAAAGTGTATCCGTCACCAAGGAGACTTGTTGATTCAGGCACCGCTTTTCTTTCATGATGGGATGTTTTCTCCTTTCATTAATCTCAGTGGGGAAGTGCTCATTCATTCCTAAATCAGTGTTTCTGAGTTCTCCGCCCCGGCTCTTCACCATTTCCTTTTGCTTAAAATTTTCAAAACATGTAATAATAGATACCCTGTGGCCCATTCCCAGAGACCTTACCCATTCTATGGCTCTGCCCTATTCCCAGAGGCCTTACCCATTCTATGGACTCTGCCCTATTCCCAGAGGCCTTACCCATTCTATGGACTCTGGCCCATTCCCAGAGGCCTTACCCATTCTATGGACTCTGGAGAAAGTGACATTACGCACGACATCTGTGGGCAGTTTCAGTTGAGTTGACATAAAGGACTCTGCTGTTGTCATTCTCTGGTATCCCTGAGAAGATGAGTTTGTCCCGCATTGACCGACATCAAGTTTTCTTTAAGTTGATTGTTCTCCCTCTCCACCAGAATAGAGTGTACAGGACCTTTCAGCACCGTGTTCGCTTTCCTTTCATCATCAATCTGACATTGGCTGAATTCTAGACATAATGCATTGATGTCCTCTCGTAGTATATCCAAGATATCAAGTTTGGCAAGTCTTTCATTGATGGATTTCAGCAAGTCAACATCCATCTCCGTGAACCTCTCCCCGCTCTCCACGTGCGCCTTCTTGCTCAGGTGCCATCATTGATACCGCTCGGCCAACTTGGCTTTGGTTTGTTTTGCTGATTGTGTTTGTTGTCCGAAACAGCGCTTGAATCCTCCAAAACCAGCAACATGTTTTTTTTGAGCTCGTAGGTATCTCTCATCAATGAATCGTTCAAGCTCTTCAATGGATTCTGAAGCACCCAGCGTGTTTGCATGCGTCCCAAGGACCATGGATAGCAAGAACCCTGTGGCGTCCCAAGGACCATGGATAGCAAGAACCCTGTGACGCAGCGGTCTAAGGCACTGCATCTCAGTGCTTGAGGCGTCACTACAGACCCCCAGGTTCGATTCCAGGCTGTATCACAACCGGCCGTGATTGGGAGTCCCATAGGGCGGCGCACAATTGGCCCAGCGTCGTCCGGGTTTGGCCGGTGTAGGCCGTCATTGTAATTAAGAATTTGTTCTTAACTGACTTGCCAAGTTAAATAAATAAAAAATAATAATAAAAGAGAATAGCAGCTGGTTTCTATGGTTACCTGGGTAGAATACACGTGGTTTATATGGTTACCTGGGTAGAAAACAGCTGGTTAACTCGGTAATAAACAGCTGGTTAACTGGGTAATAAACAGCTGGTTAACTGGGTAATAAACAGCTGCATCTTCCACATTGCAGCAGAGAATTACACCAAGAAATATGTACTTATTATTAATTTGAAATGTTGCCAAAAGCAGACTTTGTGATCATTGAAATTAATTGGGATACATTTTAACTCGCTCCTCCTCTGCTTCCAATGCATGAATGTCACCAGCTGCTGCGTCTGTGCCTCTGTGGAGAATGTCAAAAAATCTTCATTAACGTGCTTAATCATCCATGGGATTGAAGCAGGGGAGATTCCACTGTAACAGATTGTCTGTGTAAAACATGGTCATTGCATTTAGCTGTGTATGTGTGTGTGTGTGTGTGTGTGTGTGTGTGTGTGTGTGTGTGTGTGTGTGTGTGTGTGTGTGTGTGTGTGTGGGAATCCCAGTCAGCATTCCTATCTTCCTACAGACAATTATTCATTGTTGTGTATTAGGCATCACCTGATAACCTTTGTTTGCGCTTCAATATATTGTTGCTTATTCCATGTTGATGGGAAATTGTATGGAGACAATGCACTGTTATATGTTGGATAAGCAAAGGTGTGATCTATTAGAAATTGAATGGTTTCTAGTTCAATTAATTTGGATTTCTGATCATTGCAGCTATAAGTATAAATTATACTGTGTTTAAATGACAACATGGTGATGGAAATTGGATTTGACACATTCTTCTTTATATTTTTCACTGAATATGTGGTGCATGATCAGCCCAATAACCAAATAGGAAATATTTAGATAAATATTGAGAGAATCCATTGTCTAGTTTGTGAGGGGTGAAAGTTCATCGTGTTGTTGTCTGTGTCTAGTACTATTTAGTATATTCATAAGTTCAGGGAGATTGTGGTGAATTATCAGTGTAGCTTTTTTGCTTTGATTGATGGTAGTAAAGGGGTCTAATATAGGAGATGTAGAAGTCTGAGAATAAAATGTTAATGTATCTGTAATTACAGCAGTTATACACTTGATGGCAGTAGGCTCTCTGTCTGTAATTACAGCAGTTATCCACTTGATGGCAGTAGGCTCTCTGTTTGTAATTACAGCAAATCAAATCAAATCAAATGTTATTTGTCACATACACGTGTTTAGCAGATGTAATAGTGGGTGTAGCGAAATGCTTGTGCTTCTAGCTCTGACAGTGCAGTAATATCTAACAAGTAATATCTAACAATTTCACAACATATACCCAATACACACAAAACTAGTAAGGAATGGGATTTAAGAATATATACATATATGGACAAGCAATGACAGCAGTTATCCACTTGATGGCAGTAGGCTCTCTGTCTGTAATTACAGCAGTTATCCACTTGATGGCAGTAGGCTCTCTGTCTGTAATTACAGCAGTTTTCCACTTGATGGCAGTAGGCTCTCTGTCTGTAATTACAGCAGTTATCCACTTGATGGCAGTAGGCTCTCTGGCTGTAATTACAGCAGTTATCCACTTGATGGCAGTAGGCTCTCTGTCTGTAATGACAGCAGTTATCCACTTGATGGCAGTAGGCTCTCTGTCTGTAATGACAGCAGTTATCCACTTGATGGCAGTAGACTCTCTGTCTGTAATGACAGCAGTCTGTAATGACAGCAGAGTTTCAGTCTGTTTTGGAATGAGTGGCCAGTAATAAACTGGTCCTGAACATCTAAAACTAAGAGCATTTTATTTGGTACAAATCATTCCCTAAGTTCTAGACCTCAACTGAATCTGGTAATGAATGGTGTGGCTGTTGAACAAGTTGAGGAGACTAAATTACTTGGTGTTACCTTAGATTGTAAACTGTTATGGTAAGAAAATATAGATTATCTTGCTCAGTTGTGCACCGGGGCCTCCCACTCCTCTTTCTATTCTGGTTAGAGCCAGTTTGTGCTGTTCTGTGAAGGGTGTAGTATACAGCGTTGTACGAGATCTTCAGTTTCTTGGCAATTTCTCGCATGGAATAGCCTTCTTTTCTCAGAACAAGAATAGACTGACGAGTTTCAGAAGAAAGTTTTTTGTTTCTGGCCATTTTGAGCCTGTAATCGAACCCACAATTGCTGATGCTCCAGATAATCAACTAGTCTCAAGAAGGCCAGTTTTATTGCTTCTTTAAGCAGCACAACCGTTTTCAGCTGTGCTAACATAATTGCAAAAGTGTTTTCTAATGATCAATTAGCCTTTTAAAATGATGGATTGGGTTAGCAAACACAACGTGCCATTGGAACACAGGACTGATGGTTGCTGATAATGGGCCTCTGTACGCCTATGTAGATATTCCATAGAAAATTAGCAGTTTCCAGCTACAATGGCCATTTACAACATAAAAAATGTCTACACTGTATTTCTGATTAATTTGATGTTATTTTAATGGACAAAATAAATTGCTTTTCTTTCAAAAACAAGAACATTTCTAAGTGACCCCAAACTTTTGAACGGTAGTGTATGTGCCTCTGGTCCTACCTGGTGCATGAGTTGTATTGACAACAAACTCGCCCAACCTTTACATTATTTAAATTAAAACATTTAGAATATCAGCCCTGAATTGACATGTAATGACTGACTCTGTTTTAACTAGTCAACATCACCAATCCCTCTTTCTGTTTCTACCTGCCTGGGAGGGAATGGAGGAAGGAGAGGGGTGGTGGAACAGACATGAAAGGCTGGTCATGGCTCACATCAACACCATTATCCCAGAAACCCTAGACCCACTCCAATTTGCATACCGCCCCAACAGATCCACAGATGATGCAATCTCTATTGCACTCCACACTGCCCTTTCCCACCTGGACAAGAGGAACACCTATGTGAGAATGCTATTCATTGACTACAGCTCAGCATTCAACACCATAGTGCCCTCAAAGCTCATCACTAAGCTAAGGATCCTGGAACTAAACACCTCCCTCTGCAACTGGATCCTGGACTTCCTGACGGGCCGCCCCCAGGTGGTAAGGGTAGGTAACAACACATCTGCCACACTGATCCTCAACACGGGGGCCCCTCAGGGGTGTGTGCTCAGTCCCCTCCCGTACTACCTGTTCACCCATGACTGCATGGCCAGGCACGACTCCAACACCATCATTAAGTTTGCCGACGACACAACAGTGGTAGGCCTGATCACCGACAACGATGAGACAGCCTATAGGGAGGAGGTCAGAGACCTGGCCGTGTTATGCCAGGATAACAACCTCTCCCTCAACGTGACCAAGACAAACGAGATGATTGTGGACTACAGGAAAAAAAAGAGGACTGAGCACGCCCCCATTCTCATCGACGGGGCTGTAGTGGAAACACACCAAGACAGTCGTGAAGAGGGCACAACAAAGCCTATTCCCCCTCAGGAGACTGAAAAGATTTGGCATGGGTCCTCAGATCCTAAAAAAAATCTACAGCTGCACCATCGAGAGCATCCTGACTGGATGCATCACCGCCTGGTATGGCAACTGCTTGGCCTCCGACCGCAAGGCACTACAGGGGGTAGTGCGTACAGCCCAGTACATAACTGGGGCCAAGCTTCCTGCCATCCAGGACCTCTATACCAGGCGGTGTCAGAGGAAGGCCCTCAAAATTGTCATGGCTACCCGGACTATTTGCACTGCCCCCCCACCCCCACCCCCCACCCCATCTTTTTACGCTGCTGCTACTCTGTTAATTATTTAAGCATAGTCACTTTAACTCTACCCACATGTACATATTACTTCAACTACCTCAACTAGCCGGTGCCCCCGCACATTGACTCTGCACCGGTACCCCCCTGTATATATAGCCTCCCTACTGTTATTTTATTTTACTTCTGCTCTTTTTTTCTCAACACTTTTTTGTTGTTGTTTTATTTTACTTTTTTATAAAAAATAAATGCACTGTTGGTTAAGGGCTGTAAGTAAGCATTTCACTGTAATGTCTGCACCTGTTGTATTCGGCGCATGTGGCCAATACAATTTTATTTTATTTTATTTGACAATGAACCATACTGTCTCAGATTTGATCTTGGTTACATTTCTCACATACTCTACTTTCAAAGAGGAGAGCCAATGTTCCTCCCCTCATACCTCCTCCAATCATTGTTCAGGAGGATGCAAGGAAAGAGTCATTTCTATATGTTGTTTTGTTATTCTGTTACAGTAGATCCAGAAGCTGTGTGGAGTATTCCAAACAGGCCAAGGACTGGATAGAGAAGAGTTTTGGATCCGGGCTGCATCCCAGGGGTGAGCCAGCACATGGAGTACTAAGTAGGATTCTGTGGGAAGATCTCACTGACATACTCCTCACGTCCTCTCTCCTCGTCTCCTCTGGCTTTCTCATCCAATGTGTTTTGAGAAGGAGAGAGGACGCAAAGAGTATGTAATTGGATCTTCTCTGTGTTTTACATAACCCCA